GTGGCTGAATTGCTAGATCTTTGCAATTAGTCTATGGAACAATTTTTCCAATGGTTTCATTGTTTTGAACAAAAACGAATTCAAAAGGATTTGGGGGAAAATAGTAAAAAAAAATGTCTTTTAGAAATTTTTGGTTGTTTTTAACAAAAGAAGTGAAATTAAATTTTTGGCAACTATCAATAAAATAATACCCTCTGAAATACTTAGTGACAGCTTCCTGACAAAATGCCAATGGTGCACTGAGAGACAGTTATGTTGTCGCAAACCATGAAGGCACGTTAGAACATGGGCCGGCAAACTTCCTCTGGAAAGGGACAGACAGTAAATATTTTAGCTTTTGCTGGCCATAAGGTACTCAGCTCTGTCCTTATAGCACAAACGCTGCCACACATTGTATGTAAATAAATGAATGTGGCTGTGTTTCAATAAAACTATATTTATAGACACTGGCACTTGAGTTTTGTATAGATTTCACTGGCAGCCAAGTGTTATTCTTCTATTGATTTTTTTCAAACATTTAAAAATGTGAAAACCATTCTTAGCTCACAGGCCATGCAATAATAGGATGTGGGCAGGATTTGGCAGAATTCGGCCAAAATACTGTAGATGGATGACACTTGATTTAGCCTTATAACCATGGCTCCAGGAATCTGGCTGGTATGATTTGTATTCACCGTCACAAGATCTGTGTGACCTTGGGCAAGATCCTAAAGTGCTCTCTGTCTCAGTATTCTCATCTGTGAAATGGGTGTAATAACAGTACCTGTCTTTCAGAGTTGTTAAGAGTAGGTGATAATTCAAGTTAAAAGTTGAACAGTTCTCAGGTATTCAGTATGAAATTTTTGGAATTGTTATTGTTATCTTTATTATCATATTGAGTTAATTAATTTTTTTTCTTTCAAAGCCACTATTAGCCTAAATTGTGGAGGCAGGAGAATAAGAGAACAATAAACTTTCTTCATGATTATTTGTTGTTTAAAAGTTAATAAATAAATAATCAGGACGAAATAAATAATCAGAGACTCTTTGTACTATTCTTGCAAATGTTTTTATAAGTCTAAAATCATGTCAAAATAAAAAGAGAAAAAAATAAGAAGTGATGTACTTCTTTTGAATATTATGAAAATCAAAACTTACAAAATAAATTAGAGGAAGGGATTATTTACACTATAGACAGATTCGCTTCAGGGCTCCTTTAAATATGGAAATCCCTTGGTACAATTAAAACATGATTTGATTTATGAGAATTAAATGTACATTCAACATTTTCCTGCAACATGTGTACTTAAATGGAAATATCTTTGTCCTTAAAGAGAAGCTCATCTTTCAGGCTACTATAAAAGCATTAGGTATTAACTATAAAAATATTAATATATGGGTTAGCTTAATACTAGTCTGATGTTCAAAATGGGTAACTGCAAAAAGCATCCACAGCTCACTGGGGCTTTGGATACATTTTGGATAAATTTGTCAATTGGAAATGATATCCTCCAGTGGCAGGGACTCATGGCAACTTCCCAGGACTCTAAGTCTAGCAGAAGTTGGGGGCTTGTGTAACACTTCAAAGGGGACCTCATGTATTGTGCCTTATTGATCTCAAGGTAGGGTTCATTACAAGGTAGGTACGTATATTAGTCTGCTCCGGCTGCCATTAACAAAGTACCATAGACTGGGTGGCTTAAACAACAGAAATTTATTTTCTCCCAATTCTGGAGGCTGAAAGTTTAAGATCAAGGTGTCAGCAGGGTTGGTTTCTTCTGAGGCCAATTCTTGACATGTAGATGCCATCTTCTCCCTGAGTCTTCACATGGTCTTCCTTCTGTGTGTATCTGTGTCCTAATCTCTTCTCCTAAGGACACCAATCATATCAGATTAGGGCCCACCCTAATGACCTCATTTTAATTTAATTATGTCTTTAAAGACCCTGTCTCCAAATAAAGTTATACTCTTAGGTACTGGGGGTGAGGACTTCAAAGTATGAATTTTCAGGGGATACAATTCAAACCCTAACAGTAGGGCAGGAATGTGTATGTCTTTTTCTGGATGGGAAACCAAGAGTGAATTCTTTAGGGTTATACAATGCCGATTTTGTGCCCTTTCTTCACCAGCCTCCCTCCAAAGAATTTGACAGAGTAGCTAGGGCTAAAACGAGTTAATTTTTTTGTTCAAATTACTACAAAGCAAAGACAAAATCTGTCACTGTACAAAGTGGTAAAGACAAAAAATAAATAAGTTCTTTCATTTTGTCCACAGAAGTACTCAGGACAAATATATTTGGCCATTTTTAATTTTCTCCCAAATATTTGGAGATGACCTTAGCTTTGGGTTTCTCGAAGTATATTCATGCAGCACCAGAACCACCTGGTTTGCTGATTAGAAATGCAGTTTTCTGAACAGCTGAATCTTTCTTGTTAGGGGTGGCGCATCATTTACCATTTCTCCAGGTGACTCAAACTAGCATAATGGCTCGAGATCCTCTGATTTAATGAAGGGAATACCTCATGGCCTTGAGATTTGGGGAACTGACTCCAGCTTTTCTCAAAGTCTGGTCACTCCACGATTCAGGAATTTGTTAGAAATGCAAGTGCTCTGGCTCCACCCAAGACCTAATGAATCAGAAACTCCTGGGGTGGGGCAAGCCATCTGTTTAGCAAGTCCTCCCTGGATTCTGATGATGCCAGTGACAATGAGGAACAACGACGGGGGATTGCAAACCTTGTGTTATTGCCACCTCCCTTGTTAAAGTGCTGTTCCCATAAAAAAGAAGTTGGGTTTCTGCTTCAGCAGAGTGTTCATTTCTCACCAGTTCATAGTTCGTTCTTTCCATTGTGATTGTTTTCCTACTTTTATTCTAATTTTTTTAAGAAGCTTTTTAAAAAATCATTCTACAGCAATGGAAGCAGGCAGGGAGTCATTGATAGAGTGAGTAATAGTTTAGAAACCCAAATAGCTTGTTTTTAAAATCCAGAATTTGCCTCTGATTTTCAATAAAGACATCATTGTTCTGTCTCTTTTTTCCCCACCTGTATAGAAGAACTAATACTAACTGACCCTTCTTATTAGGGAGGAGCAATGCAGGGTAGACATTCTTTGGCAAATAATGAATAAAACTTTTTATTTCTTATCAAAACATTATTTCTAGCATTGATCACTATTATGATTGAAAAATTTTAGTGATGACAGCAATCTATTGCACAAGTATAGAATCAAACTTTTTGCCAAAGTGTTAATAGTTATATCTAATAAAAAATATTTTAAAATAACTTCTTCATTTTATTTATTTTAGCAAGCAGTATAACTAATCATGCAAGCTGAGGTTTGGAGTGCTATTCAGAATTATCCCTTTTTTTTTTTCTTGTGTATATATGTGTTACTGGGCATGAGTACTGAAAGGGATGGCGTATTAGTCCATTTCTGTTGCTTATAACAAAAGACATGGAACTGGGTGATTTATAAGAAACCCAAATTATTGCTTACAGTTTCTGAGCCTGGAAAGTCCAAAGTCCAGGGAACACATCTTGTGAAAGCCTTGGTGGGGCAGAGTATCCCATTGCAAAAAATGTCAGAGCAGAGAGAATGAGAAACTAATCTCCTCATTCATTCTCCTTTTAAAGTCCTCCAAACCATGCCCATGATCACCATTTTTAATCCATTCACTACTGCACAGTCCTACAATCTAATCACCTTTTCAAGGCTCCACCTTTCAATCACCACAATAGGATTTACCACCTCTTGACAGTCAGAGTGGGGGCCAAGTTTCTAATACATAAAACTTGGGGTACACAGTTCAAGCTTCAATGGGTTTTGGGGGGACATAATTCAATCCACTACAGATGGCATATTGTCCTATTGAAAAGCACATGGAGTTCAGCAGATGTACTCCAGTGCCCAGCACAGTGCCTGGCACATAGTAGACACCAATAAACATCTGATGAATAAGTGATGATGCTCCTAGCCCCATCTTCTCCTAGCTGAGCTCTAGAGACAGAGGTACTATGCTCTGCACATGGTCTTTGGCTCACACTCAGCCACTGGCTTGTAGGACTTTCTCTCAGCACTCCTTCCAGTAGCAGGTCTCTCACTAAAAACCAGACTGCAGCATAGAGCTCTGTGTTCCTGCAACTCTGGATCAGCACACAGCAGAGGTTTGTCAACATACCGGCAGCACATGACACACACACAGAACCTTACAGAACTGGTGCCCCAGAATTCCCATAGAATCTTAGATATTTTATAAAGTTTTGTTGTTGTTGTGTTCTTTGTGTCTTTCTTTGTTTATTGCATTTCAATAGAGATAAGAATTTTCTTATCCAAATTGTTTAGCCCATCTTAATATTGGGCTAACGAAGTGCATTGGCCACTCCCAGATGCCAGGCAGTTGCGATGTTCCTTTGACATTTTTTTCCTCTTTTTTTGCAATCCAGAAATTATAGGAAAAGGCCTAATCAGTCACCACCACACTGGGTTGGAGCTGTGCCCATTTGATATTGAAACAAAAGGGGCAGACATGTAAAATAGCATTTGTTTTCTTCCTTCCCATCCTTCTTTCTCATTTTATTTCTCAAAAGTGTAACATGGGTGCCTATCAGAAACCCTTTGGTTTCTCTCTTGGGTTGCTTCCTGCCAGGTTGCTGGGCCCATGGGGACAGGAAGATGCATGAAACATGATTCTCGACCTCTTGGCATTAAGAGCATCAATGTTAAGACACTGAAATAGATCATTACAGTACAATCTAGAAAAGCAGAGAAAGGAAGCATGAGCCTGGCCAGGTACAGGCAAATAGAACAGGTTTCTTGGAGGAGAAGACAAAGCTAAGTCCGGAAGAGAGTTATCTGGGAGGAAGGAAAGGCTTCCTGTGGGGAGAAGACACAGACTGTGCAGAGGCATGGAGCTGTGCAACTGCACTCTTGTTCCAGTTGGTTTGAATCCAATTTCCTCACCTTAATGTTGACAGCAAAGCAAAAAGTTTAGACACCTTTCTCCTTCCTGTCTGTGGTAGGAAACATCCCTTCTGGTCTTCTCCCTGCACCTTCTGGGGCGAGGAATGATCCTCTACACTGCAGGGAGTCTCCAGGTGAGCCCAAAGTGTTTTGATGCCCCTCTGAGACATCGACCTTGGCTTGTCTTCCTCAGCTGAAGAATTTCAAATCCTGCTTGAGAGTGACTGTGCGGACATCCTTCCAGGATTTGGAATGCTGACCATCCTGGCACTAGTGTGTAATAAGCTTTAGATAAGGCTCTGATTATTCCCAGAATTAAGTCTGTCACATGGAGCCCAGTTGCTGCCATCAACAGTCCAGGAAATGGATTACTAGGCTGCCCAGGTTTCCTGTTACACTGGATGAGTCAACCTTAAAAGAACGAGGAAAGAGGAGAAAACAAGTGAATCACTTAGATATAGCTTGTAAATATATTTGAACTTTAGGCATGTGAATTCCCAGTTGTATACAACAGGAAGAAGAAGGCATCCTCAAGACAAGTTGTTTGGAAAAGCACTATTTTTAGCAAAGAAAACAGAAATGGAGAGTTCTTTAAAAATGTATTATGATTCAATCATATTCATTAATCCCACTGAGGGCCAGGTACTTGCTAGGTTCTGGGGATAAAAAGATGAGTCTGATTTGACTGTGCCCCAAGGGGATTCTGTAGCTAAGACCAATATGTAAATAGAAAATTGTAATACAGCATGACAAAGGATCTACCAGCAGGATTTTTTTTAAAGTATGATAAGAGCATAGAAGAGGGAGTAATTAATTCACTCCTGGGGACAGGAAAGAGAGGAGGTCACTTTTAAACTATGCAGAAGAGAGACAGGGGAAGCCACTTTTTTCTTAAGTTGAACCACATGAAAGTGCTAACATTCAACTACATTTGTCATAAAAGATTAATTTCATACAGTTTAACCTAACACTAGGAGCAAGAATGGCATGGAGGTTTCATTTCCTCCACCAACTGTAATCAAATGGTAGTAATTGTCTGGTAGCTGTGTTAAGAATGATTCTGAGGGTTCCAGGCCAATAGGAAAGGATAATATTGAAACTGATTACTGATATGTGTCCTGGCTAAGGAAAGGGTAGATAGTGGTACAGACTGAACCTATTTGCCATCCTTAAATTGTAAGGATTTTAATAAGCAAAGGCACAGTAGCCTAAGAAGTATGGGATGTCACCATGTTTGTAGACTAAGGATCATGGTAGTTGGATGTAGATGATTTATATTGGGTGTGGGAACAGACAGAAGACTAAGTTCAAGGGACTCATCAAAATGCTGGGTCAATACTGTATTGGGAAGTGCTTTGAACGACCTTGTAAACACTTCATACTGCTGCTTGCAGCCTATTATCTATCTGACTTACTTTTTTAAACAAACACACATTACCTGCCCCAGCCCAAAAAATGCATGGAGGTTAAAGTGTTCTTCTCTGCTACTTTGTTTTTGTTGAATTGAAAGCCTCCTTTTAAGAAAAGGTCACAAAGTACTAAGGAAACATACTGTAAACATTTTGCAAATTAAATTGGAGGATGTGTTTAGGGAAAATAAAAACCAGGTCCTATGATGGCATGGATTTTGTTTTACAAAGGTCAAAATCATTGTATAAAGGTTTATTTTATTTTATTTTATTTATTACTACTAAGGGTGCTTCCAAAGAAGTTACTTCAGCCCAGTTTCTCAAGATCCACAACATTTAAAAAAAAAAAATAGGAAAGCTTTATTATGCCCTGCCAGGGTTTAGCTTTCTAGACAAAATCTGTGTTGTGTCCCAATGGAATTCTATAAATTGCACTGGGAACATTGAAAATTGGCCAACGGGTTTTAACTGTAAGATAGTGAAATGTCCTTCTGGATGCATTTTTGCTACAATTAGATTACTTTTTGAAAGCGAGGCACCCTAAGATCTCATTTTTAAAGTGGTTTTTAACCAGGGAGGGAGTGGTTTATCAACAGGAGAGAATGGCCGAGGAGCTTTCTCTTTGAAATGCACCTGCCAGAGTTCTATCCTAGAAGATTCTGATTTGGTAGCTCTCAATATATTTTGTAGAAACATTAATTTTTCTTTAAGATTTCTAACAATGAACAAAATTATACAGACGATCTCTGCAGGATCACACTTGAACACTTATTTATAAAGAGTTCTTATTGCAGGGGGTTACTGAATGTCTTTATAGGTGGGTAGCTTGCCTCCTGTTGGTTGATTTTAGACCCAAACCTCCGTCATCTGGGGTTTTATTTGTTTGCTATTAATCCCCTTTACTATGCCAATTTCCTGCTATAATTGGAAATGCCCACTGAGGAGGAATTAGACCATGTGAAGGCTCATCTTCTATGTTGTGATAAATTGTTTTCAAATGAAGTAGAAAGAAGAAAACATTCAGTTTAGCAAAGATGCCCACCCAGACTCTTAATATATTTACTACTAAGAGAAGGTCAGTTAATTTTGCTCTCATATCTAGGGCTATTTTGGGGGACAAGGCGGAGCAACTCTTCTAAAGCCATAAGCATGGGATGCGGGAGTAAATGTGAAAAAGACCAGGGGCATTTCTTCAGGTAGGACTTGTGTCCACAGGGTAGTTCTCCTTGTGAAAGACTGAATGGAGCTGTTAGACCTGGTGATTAAGGAAGGGCAAGATAGATTAGGAATTTTAATAAAATTGTTGTTTTACCTGAAAATAATGTCCAGAATCTAGACAGGCATAGGGAACAGAGGGTGGAAATGGAACCTGCAAAAGCCTTCTCAGTGTTCCTCCTGTGATCCATCTATTTTGGCCAGCTACCTGAAGGATGGTGGTTTGCAGGTCAGGAGAGAACACCTTTAGAATTGCGCCTGGTTTGCAGTGTCTTAATGTGCACAACATGGCAGGTCCTCTCTGTTTGGCAGAACCCCACTCGCTTTGGAAGCTTTAACTCCCCTTTTGTTGACCTGGAGGAAGATAGAAAACAACTGTAGACCCACTCCCCAGGGCAAATCTTTAGGGATAAGGGATTTGCTGTCCCTGGAGGTACGGTTGTAAGGTAGGCTTATTTTCATGGGAGATTGCTTCCCAGTTGTAGTGGTGACAGGAAATATGAAAACAAGCTGGGACGGTTGGCCTTAGCCTGCCAGGGAAGTGACCAGAAACCACAGGAAAGCATTTCCATCACCAGTAATGGGCATAAAACTCCTCAAAAGTCTCTAATTCTTTTCAGAGTCTTTGAGTTTGGGCTTTGCAGCAGCAGAATAGAATTGATACCCCGAAGGTTCCCGACCCTGGTCATCCCTGGAGTGGGTGGTTATTCCAACTATGTCATAGATTGAGGAAGTATCTCAGGACTCCACCATTCCTCTCTCTGTAAAATTCCATTTTTTCAGGGATCAGCATAGTGCCCTTTGTTTTAAATCAGGTGCAGACAAGTCATCCCTGCAATGCAGCTGCAGTCTGCAAGGTTAGTTAAGCGGCCTCTCTCCAGCTGGAAGGAAGGTAGAGAGCTTTAGGAAAGAAACCAGAAACACAGGAGACAAAAGTGGTTTCACCCAGTGTCCAGTGTGGGTCCAAGATGGGTCATGAGGATGGCAAAAGTTGCATTTATTTCTTTCCTGCCTCACTTCTGTTCTTCCTCCAAAGAAATGATTCAGAAGGACTAAAGTTTAAGAAGAGGAAACGTTTTCTATAAACCTATCAACTCTAGGGCTTACCATTTATTGAATGATTATTTGTGTGACAGCCCCTCCCTACCTTGGGCATACCTCTAGTCACACAATTTACAACCCTTCCTGGAGGTAGGTATTTTCCATATGAGAATGCTGAGGCACAGAGAGAGGTACAGTGACTGTCCAAGATCACGCAACAAAGTGGTGTTTTGAGTCAGGCATACTATCAAGTTCTCTCTGATATTTCTAGAGTTCCCTTTTGAGTATGCCATGCTGCTTCCATTCCTGATCTGAAACTGTGTCCTGGGGCAGCCAGACCCTGCTACTCAAACCCCATGCAAAAAGTCATGATGTGTGCTTGATGGGTGGGGGAGGGGAGCAGGGTGGGCTTCCACCGATTCCCTTTGGCTAAGGCAGGGGGCATCCTCGGGTGTGCCCATCGTGCGCTCTGGGATGTGGCTGTGTTTTCATTTATCTGCCGTTCTCATTTGCCTTGCTGTGATCTCTCCGGTGTAGTGTGCCTGTTCCCAAACCAGATACCATCTTTCTCTCTCTTTCGTAGGCACGGTGCTGTTGTGCCAGGCAAACCAGGAGGGATCTTCCATGTACAGTGCCCCCAGTTCACTTGTATATACTTCCGCAAGTAAGCCCACTGCTGTGGCTCTCTTTTTGTTTTGTGACCTAAATCTGAGTCCCATCACCTTCCCTGCCATGTAAGTTCTCCCCCCCTCCCACCGTCCCACTCTCTCTTGTGGCCCTCTATGAGGTAAAGCTGATTTTCATAAGCATGTCTCTGTTTCCCCTGTTGCCTCAGCATCTGAATCCCTCTGCTCATTACCATCCACATCTAAATCCTCACTCCCGAGACATCCCAGCCATTTTTTGTTAGACCTGTCAGGATTGGGTCCAGTGGATGGGACGTGGGCTTTAGGTTGGCGGGAAGGGTTATGGGAGGGGGGAAGCTATAGCTCATTGCCTGCCTTCTATCACAGCTTTGCAAATTAATATAAAATAATTTAAACAAAATAAAACATGCAGGCCATCCAAATGGCATCCCAGCCTAGCAAAGATGCTTGATTGGAACTCTTGAGAACAATTGTCTTACTATGGAGAATATTACCAGCCTGTGGCTAGTGACTTATTTGCAAGGCTGTTCTTTGTTTTGCTGTGTGATTCCACTGAGGAAGAGGAGAAGAAAGAAAAATGTGGCACTTTGCTATTTAACTTGGGGGGAGGGGAGGGCAACAATAAAGAATGGTCTTTTAAAAAGTAGGGGCACTTGTCTGGTCAAGGACAAATTGCATATATGACATGAGGGTGGGCCCATAAGATTTCAGTGGCTATACCATGTAGCCTAGGTATATTATCTAGGCTTGTGTAAGTATACTCTATGATGTTTGCACAATGATTTCTCAGAACATAACACCATTGTTAATCAATGCATGACTGTACATAAAAATCACCATCAAGTGCTAGAGGAAGGAGACCAAAAATAAATATAGAAGGTAGATCACAGTGTTGACTTGGAAGAACCAAAGATTCCTCTGCCTGGAATAGATGCTCTGGGGTGAAGAGTGCCCCATCCCCACCCCAATTCCCAGAGCAGGTTGAAGAATTAAAGCTCCAGTGATTCCATCATGGTCTCCCAGGTGGTTTGCCCCTCCTCAAACAGTCTCTCAGCCACATCTGAGACTTTATCATCTATTTCGTACAATGTGTGTAACTCCTATGAAATTCCCATAACTGCCAAATAAGACCTCATTAGGGTCAGTGCTCAAAAGTGAGTCTGAGGTCCTGGGGGTGGGGGTGGGCTGAGAACTGTGTCTGAGACTAGCTGGAGGGGGGAGGAGGGGAGCAGAGGTACTGGGATCATGATGATCAAAGAGAGAGAGACAGAGGAGAATCCTCACCGTTGTGCCCAAATCAAGCATCTCCTTCCCAAAAAGTGAGGCTGAGACAAAGCAGACTCCTTGCTGTGGAGACAAAGATTATCAGCAGTCACAGGGGGCCAAAAATTTAATGATACAATAAGCCCAAAGGTTACTGAAGTCTCCAAGAGGTTAAGGCAGCCAGTTGCTTCTGCCAACCAGAGTATAATCTTCAGTAGCAGTTTTGGCATTAATTAAATGCAGTGTATCTTTCTGTGGCCCCCAAGAAGCCAAAATCTAACCATACTGGCAAGAAGTGGATCTTTCTGAATTTATGAAAATTGTCCCACTTGGGCCAGTGTAAACATGTGTACATGTCTCTCCTAGAATTATGATGCTACTGCACATTTTCACATGTTCAGCCTTGTTTGTTCCTCTCAAAACCGGCACCAGGTAAGTATTATAATGCTTGCTTTACAGCTGAGGAAGTGGAGGGCACAGAGAAGTGGAGTAATTCACTCAGGATCACACTGCTAGTATGTGATAGATTTGTTTTTTGAACCTGCGGAAATTGTTCAACCTTCAGCTGCCTTTCTGGGTCCATTTGGCTCTAAATCCTGCCATTGTTCTATTTTCCTCCCCTTCCTTCTTCTCTATAAATAGTATTTTCTGAAGGAGAGTTGTTGTGCCAAAATTCACCATAGGGTTGAGTCCCAGATTATTCTTTCGTTTTTTCTCTAATATTGCTGTCTTATAGAACCATCTGGGATGAAATCTTCCTGTATCTGTACTGTCCCACAACTGTGCTGATGGTACCTTTATTTTATTTTATTTTATTTTATTTTATTTTATTTTATTATGTTACGTTAATTAGCCACATGGAGCTATGTTTACCATAGTGGACAGTATGGCTCTATATGATCATAAGACCTATTTATATTTCAGCTTTGTTACAGAAGTGAACAAAACAACTGAACTCCAAAACAGTGCTACTTTGTATCAGGATAGCTATTTTACAGCAACCTGGAGAAAGTGTGTGTCCTACATATCAGGCATGGAAATATTTCACACATCATCCGTAATAAAATAGCTGAAGCATACAGAGGGAATAAAATAACCCAAAACAGAGGTTAGTTATTCAGATTGGCAAGCTCATACAGTGTTTTGTAGTGGTGACCATGGGCCAAACCCAGTCCTCAGCCTGTTTTGTAAGGCTTATGGACTAAGAACGGTTTTTAGATTTTCCAAGGATTGTAAAAACAAACAGAACAAAAACAAAGAATATGTGATGGAGACATAGGTGCCTAAAATATTGACAATCTGCTCTCTTTGAAGAAAAAGTGTGCCAATCTCTGATTTAAAAGGTCCATTTTATTATCAAAAATGCAAAGTGGCCATATCACTTCACTGCATATAATTGCACCTTTTTTCAAAGTTTTACAGTAAAAATTTATAATAATTACAGAAACTGCATAATGTATCTAACATCCTTCATTTTTAAATTACATTATGAGTCATATTACCTATGCATTACTCATCTTATTATTTTCACTTATCTTGCTATGTGTTCTTTGTGAAAATATGTTAATGACTTCATACTCTATTGTTTATGTTACATTTTAATCTATCTCCATTGTTAAATCTTTAGGTTCACAGTCATTTCTCCAAAAATATTAAACAAAATAAATGTCCTTTCATATAGCAGTTTTAAAGAAAACAGTTAATAGCAAATCCTACTACCCCATGAGAACACAAAACAAAGCCTAGTATTTTACAGTAAGAATCTGCACTTGTCGATCCCTTAAGCAGTGGTATTCAGATTGGCAAGCTCACATAGTATTCTGTGGTGGTGACCAACTCGGAAACCTCTCTTTCTCCAGCTGGGTAGCCAGAGGGGCCTTAGATTATTTCCATCTTGAGGCTGTGCGATGATACTGGATGGAAAGTTTATCTGCACATCCCTAAGATACATTGCTGAACCTTCCTTTCTGCCTTACAGCTTTTTGGCCCAGGCTATTTGCAATTAATTGGCTTCTTTGCAACATCTACTAAGGTTTTATTTCCCAGACTATGAGGCATATTCTAGTACAAAGCCACATCCTATTTCCTTAAACAATTCAACCAGCATGCCAATGGTCAGTTATTGTATACGCACACACTCTGGGGCATACGCATGGTCACCCAGATCCCTCTCCTCCCTCCAGGTCTGATTTGCACAGAGCTGAGATTCACGTCCACGTTGTTGTCTTTGACATCTGATAGGCACAGCATTTTATCTCTGCGAATCCAACTGTCTTCCTCAAAGTTGAGGCTCCCTTCCTTCTCAGCAGTCTTCTATGATACACTTGCTTTTTTAACTTGAAAATGCATGTTTCTCATTTTTATCTAACAGGTGTGCTCCTGATAAAAGGTGTGTGTAAATTACAGTTTTGAAAATTGGATCCTATGTGTCTACTGACTTGCAAAATTACTTCTGAGTTTTGTTTTGTTTGTTTTTTATTCCCCCCCCCCCCACACACACACACACACAGATCTCTTTAACTGGCCTTGGATGTTTTAGACTTAAATAGTTCCTCTTCCTAGCCAAATAGCTAATCATCTGTAAATAACACCCTTAAATGCAGTAGGGGAGATGCTTTTTAAAGGAACCCTGCTGAATTAGTCTATAATGAAAATAATTCCTACTGAAATTATCTGTTTTTTAAGATGCATTTTTGCATAATTTTTCCCTCTTAAGTGAATCATCGTAGTAATATGACCCAGGATACATAAAAGTATTAAGAGAAAGATTTTCACTCATGACTTTATAACAATACAACCTAATCCAATAGATTCTCCCATCTGACCCCAACTGACCCCAGTTTCTTTCCTCATCCCTGAACTTTATGCTGGTTTGAAACCTAGTTCCTACTGTATCATGGGATATCACCCATCATCTTACATGTCCTGATAAAATAACTCTCATCCAATGCATAAAATGGGCCTACTTTCTATCCAGCTTAAATGACATTGGAGCAAAACTCCAGGGAATTAGGTAAGACCACCTTGTACAAAATGCAAAATGTTTACTATTAATATTTTTAAACAGGCTTCAGGTAGCAAACAATACAACCCCTCCACAGAGAGGTTTGGTGAAAGTGGGGCAGGGCTGGGGGCTTGCTGCCCACCCCACCTTGAGGACCAGTGGTCTGCGGGCTCCTCTTGTCCAGGGGGAAAGCACTAGGTATATTATCGTCAGCACTGTTCATGTACACTGAATGCTTAACATCAAAATCAGCTTCGGGCAGAAATAAGAAAGTAAGGAACACCGTTCTCAAATTAAAAACACAGCTTACATTTTTGTTAGTTGAACTATCAGGAGGTAAATCATTGGTTTTATGAATGGGAAAGTCTATTTCTGATTCAGATTGGCAAAGGCAGCTGTTGCTGATCCTTATTTACATATGAAGTAGATGTTTCCAGAAGCAGGTAAATGTTATCGTCTTCGTTTTGTTTTCTTCACAATTTTATGAATAGATTTTAAATTACAAACGTAACATGCCCATTGTAATCGGTAAAGCATGCAAATAAATACATACATGCACACACTCGCACACAAAGAAGATTGGAATGATATGGTAATAATATCCCCACTTTATCCAATAACACATATCATTGAAATAACCTGTACAAAATCCCAGTAAGTATCTTTCCACAACATCTTCATATTAATTCAAAGGACATACACATGTGTGATCAGCAGGAGGAGGTGGGGCGAGGAGAAGGGAGTGGTAGG